TCTTCGTAATATAAATCATAGCAGTACCTGAAAATGTAACTAACGGACAATTTCGATAGTTTTTTTGCAAAATCAGTGCTGCGTTTAACATCGGTTTGCCTAGTGTGCAGTCTTTTTATGGAGCTCCACCTCCGCACATGGTTCAGTTAGTCAATTTTGCTCACTTATTTCTTCTGGCATTGATGTCGTAACCAAATGTCTCAAGATACAGGATGTCGTCAATTTCTGTGCCACTGATGAGGCTTATCGAGGACAAAACATGTATATTTTTCAAATAACACTGTTTTGAAATGGGATTACTCTCCTGATATAGTACTTACATGTAATTTTGAGTTCAAAACTACATTAATTTCAACGAATTTCCGTACTAGAACGAAGAAGCCTTTTTACCTCAAATTGTTGTTTGAAATTTGGATGACAGTGTAGTTGTTTCAGATATTTGTCGGAGTTTTACTGTCTATCAGTTCACCTGATGAAGATTGAAGATCACATGAATCGAAACGACGTGAATCATAATGCTTAATAGACAATGGAAGTCCGATCAACAACACCTCAATTTTATCTCAAACGTTTGTGCCAACTTCTTTCCAAAGAGAATTGTCTGACAAAAATGTTTAAAAGATACTACTTATGGTAAAACACCTTGTTCACAAGTACAATAACTGTTTCAAAAAGTCTATGACGTAATGTGTTATATTTATGTAAATATCATAGTATCTTCGTCAGTGCAGTATTTTGAGCCATGAAGAGTATGTATTGGCTGTGTTGTTAGAACCAGATGTGGAAAATTTCAAATCATGCTTCTAGAAATTGGCCCTGCCATTTTCCGCTACTTTTTGCCCTATTCTTGTCTCTGTTTCCTATTACCACAATGATGTCGTTCTATCCAACACTTCTGGCCAGTATCTATTATGATTAAAGGAATGTGGTGCTATTAAAATCAAGTGACTCGTATTATTGATAGCCTTTCAAACGAAAAGGCTTCAAGCTAGCAAATACATGCCAACTGAAAAACCTGTACACAATTTTGAAATTTGGCGAATGATCGGTTGTTCACTACTTCCTTCTAACTTATCATAACAATAACAATATTCACTTTGATTCTAGAATTCCTAGAATGCGAGAATGTACGTCCAACTTTTTATGACTCCATCTTCCTTTTTATAATAATATGATGTCCTATCAAGACACATGCACACAAATACTGATCGTATTTTCCTACATAACTACCAGGTAATTGGTTACTTTATGCGATTATATTAATAAAAACAGTTATTTATCGATAGGCTATAATTAAATAATTATTACACTCTAGAAAAACGATATGTCGATATAAAAATGCTATAACATGCTAGGTGTTGACAAAAAAGGTATGTGGATATGATAATTGCCCCTAATGAAATGATTATGTTTTTCGCCATCTTCATCAACGGTGCCACTAAATTAGTTGATCAAAACAATTTAGCAAGGATATATTTAGTTTAATTATGCCTAGGTGGTGCAAAGTGCATAATTATTTTTTTATGTAATACAGGTACATAATACATGGTAGGTGTATGTAAGAGCAAATGTCAGTCGACAATGTCTCAATAAATATCGAAATTCTATCACTGCTACCTTGGACCAATATACTGTTCACAGTGGTAGATCTAGAAAGAACTCTTGTGAGTTCGGTCGCATATCGGTGGAACAGAGCGAGATCTTTGACTGCCTGTCAGACTGGAAGGACTTGCAGCTGCCAAGAAAATGTCACCTATCACTTGGATAGTTCTTCTCTGAGCCGCAACAAGTACCAACAGCGTAATCTTAGCAGCGTCACTCCCAAGACATGTGAACAGTATTCCATGTCACGGTTACATGACGAAAACTGTTCCTTCTCAACAGCTGCTGTGGATTGGTAAATCACGCCCTTAGTAGAGCTGAATGGAATTGTTCCTTTTCGTTTCGGTTTCGGTCTAGGAAACGATTCATTCACAATTCTTTTTAATTCCGATCTTTCGATTCCGATTTCCCTAATTACAAAACATACCATATCTGCTAATGAGCGCTTCAAAAGATCGAATATCGCAGTAGGAATGGATTATTATTTATCGATTCCGATGGTGTCGATTCTAGGATCTCGAGCTCGATGTTTTCGATCCCAATACTTACGAAAGTCAACAGGATTGTTTTTTATGGAACTGACCTACTATCTGTAATGTTTGTGGGCTGTGGATATATTTTGCCATTGGATTGTAGCATGGAACAGGTTGTACGAGGTGCTCAGTGTATTGTTTTACCGACCAATTTCAGGTGTACTATTAAAAATTGTTTATAAGTTGGACGTGCACGTTTTTGTAGCAATCTGTGAGTGGAACTGTTTGTAACTTGGTTTTGACGCAGCGCAATGACGAAGGTGCTTCTTACAACTCCCTTGTCACTACTAGCATTAGAGACGGTTTTGCTGCCTGAAATGGTTTACAATTTGCTTTCTTCTGTATTACTGAACATTTTTCCACCTATTCTCTATCTTTGTCTAATAATATTACTCCCTAGTCCATTCTCCAAACTCCACACCGCAGTTCTTAACTTGCAGATCGTTACTGTTAGTGCAATCGGTACTGAGCTAGCGGTATCGTTCTTTTTAAACAGTTCCTTCAAATACAAGCCAGTTTATAATGGTTATCCCATTTATTCTTTAGTCGTCGCTTGATTAGAAAATGTCAGTATAAGGAATGTTCGGTAGCTGCAGCTCTTTTTGCAAAAATATTACCACCTCGTTTTCTTTTATACCTTGGCCTTTGATGCAGATTGTGTTTAGAGTTTTGTTGATTCCATTCAGCTCCTGAAAGCGGTTGATGATATCCATTACTGGATGATTAAGGTCTGCAGTAAGGTGACAATTCTCCAATTTTGTTACAGCACTTCAGTAGTCGACAAAGTTGCTATTTCTCAGGAATTGAAAACAGTACCCTCAATAGCTTGATTGATGGCGGCCAGTCTGATCTGTCAACAGAACGTTCAGACGATAACTTGAATTCTTGGTGATAGGAATTGTTGCTATGATAAAATGCACATCTCGTTAAAATTTCTTTCTTCCAATCATTCACGAAGATATACTTCCATCCACTCCATCATGCTTCAATATCAGGAATTTGTAAGGTGTTGATATATCATGGTCAGAATACTTGCTATAGATAACTTTGGGTGGACAAATATACGCAGAAATATTCAGGACTGTAACATGATTTGATTATATTGTACTTTCTTGATGGTAGGAAGAAGCCACTTATAACTTTTTAGGATCCGATTAACTATGCGTTGTATTCAAATATATCCCCAATTCGACTTGGCTGTGTCTGCCAGAGAAACTTGTGTATCAATTTACGTCTACGGTGGATGAACGCACTTCATGTAGTGTCTGGTTTGAGACATACCATGGAGCGTTGCAAATTGTTCGCAAATTGAAGACTTTGCATGTGTATCTTGGCAATAAAATACCAAGCCGCATATGCATAAGTACTGGCTGGTCTAATAATCATTTTATATAGGCCAACTTTGTTTATCTAACTCAATTTGGTGGATCTACATAACAAAGGATATAGTTGCCAAAACGCAATTCGGAATTTTGTTTTCAAGGCTGCTGTATGTTTCTGCCAGGTCATGCCTTTATCAAGGGTGACACCGAGGTACTTGGCAGAATTTGTCCATGGTACACGGTTGCCGTCTACAGAAACCTCTGCTGGGGGGGGGGGGGCGCGACGTTTTTTGGTACAATAAAGCCTGCGTTTTCGAATGATTAATTTTAATCAGCCACCGTTCCGCTCACTCTAGTACTTCTTCCACCTCACTCTGCAACCCCTCGTGAACAAGATCACCAGTACACGACTGGGCGACAACTGCAGCGTCGTCAGCATAGAGGTAGACTTCACAATTGCTGGGGCAAGGGACATCATGGATAAAAAGCGAATAAAAGATTGGTCCTAGGACCGAAACGTCAGTGACCATGTCATCCGGCAAACCCAAGCGCGCGAATTTCAAATTTGAAATTTTTATCACTACACTAGGGTATACCTGACAGCTTTGCATGAACGGTTGAACTGTGAAGATAAATTGGCCCGTGTATGTTAGAAAACTCTGCATATTTCCATACCGGTGCGGACAACCTGACAAAATATAAATTCTTCCCTTGGGTAGACTTGTACAATTAAACTGATTGTACTTTAACTAAGCGTGTGTGGTACTTGAGTGCGGCCTGCGCAGGTATTAGTTGTCTGCAGTATCCTTTATATGGGGTGACAGTATAGACGATATTACTACCACCAGCGTGTATGGCTAGCTTTATGGTTACAGAAGATTCTGGAGGGTTCTCTTATTGGATACTTTAAATGAAATTGTTACCGTCTGACTTCCGTATTAGACATTCCCTTCAAACATAATTATTCTACTAAAGTGTACTTAGCGTCTACCTATTTATTATACGTTTAATACAATTATGCCTAATTTGTAACCAGTAATTATCTTTTTACTCTGATTGAATTATTTTTTCTCCGTAACTTAAAATAAAAATTTTCAATTACTGTGGGCTCTGTTGTGCGATAACATCAAACAGAACAGAGAAAATTGTAATATATTTGAATGTATGTATCTTGATAATGGGGATAGTACACTTCTCTCCACAGAGAAATCCTGCAGCAAAGAAGAAAAAGAGTTGGGAAAGACTATAGAAATATGGAAAATAATTAGTAACATGCACTAACATTGAAGTAAATTTGATTTGATTTACTAAGATTTACCAGAAACATTCATTAATATTTTGTACTTGTTGATTACAGAACGATATGAAGTGAGCAAAAATATGCGAATCTTCCATAGATAAGATAACGATCTTGATAGAGCCGTTTGCAGATATGATTGCTGAGCCAGTTCTATCGGCCAGTTCCTATATTGTAATTTCACATTGAATTTCATCATAGCTGTAGGTTGGTAGGAATGAAAACAAGTATTGATAATATCAAGGTATAATTTTCATTCATATATACAACTGACAATCACTGTAAATATATATACTAATTTGTTATAATTATTATTTAATTGAATTAGTAGTCGCATGGTGTCTACAAAAATCAATATTTATGCAAAATTCTACATTTCCAATTGCTTTCTAGAACCTCAATTCTCATTAGGCAACTATTTGCTGAAGGACGAAAAGATATGTACCGTCTAACACAATATTATACCCGTCTTCTCTAAAATTACATAGTGACAAAAGCGTGTTTCATACAGTCAAGTATCCAACTGAAAAAGAATAACATGACGCATTGTACACCACTGATCTAGGTGCTGTCTCTATGCACGGTGAGGTCGGCTTTAGCAGTAGACAGTGGCATACGATGAGTTATGTTACTCTCTTGCAACTTATTTGACGTGCAGTAAAATCTGGACGACCGTAATATTGAGTTAATCTATACATTTGTAAAATGTCAACGGAGACTTAAGATATGTGCGTTTTTATTCGACTAAAATGCAATATACATTAAGATTAATATATTGGATGATTTCATTTGATTTTAAAATCATGAGGTATTTTTTACGCCCAATCCATCGTCCTAAGACACTATTCAGATTCTACATTATAAACGAAAACCTGCTTTCTTCATCTATTATTATTCTTGAGAGCTCAACATCTTAATGACCGAAGCCTTTGGCAATCATTCCCTAAAAGTTAGAATATAAATCTGTATGTTCCAGTAACTACTCGTATGTTAAAAAAGCAAAACAAGGCACTCAAATTCCTTTTGAATTCCTAGTCAAGAAATTAAAATCTTCGGCATTTCGACATTATGTAACTTATATAGATATTCAATTATGCATCAATTTGATAGACTTGCGGTTTCGCTATAATGGCTTCAAGCTCGAATGGTTATTTATTCATATCTGGTTGAAAACAGAGTACTATCACCTTGGGTATTGAGAAATGAAATAAACACAACTGCCTCATTACGCATGACATTTTTCGGTATTTGGAATGTGAGTATATTATAACAACAGTATGATGTGACTAGAATTCTAATTTGATGAATTTAGAAGGTAAAGGATACCACACGATATTAAAAATTCAACTCACCATCAATTTCAAGCGTTATATCGACAAGTTGCCACTGAACATTTAGTGTGAGTTCGGCTCACTATATATATGTACAAATCTCAGAAGTTGGTTGAAATTTTTTCCCAGAGTATTTTGATCCACCCATTATTAAACAAGTGTTTTAGAAAAAGAATCAAAGAAGAAAAATAAAAGACAAATAAATAACTAAAGTATCCTGAACATAAATCAATTAGTAGTTCCTCATTCTGTAACGGACTATAAGTCGATGTTTGGCTCTTACTTAAAAAATGTCCTACGCGAAACACGCTCCTAAAGTACGGTAATGGAAATCCGTTTTTCTTGAGTAACGTTTAAGTGACACTGCATAATTCAACCAAATTTTGACAGCTTAGTAACCAATCGAAACTGTACACTATTGTGTCCATGTAAAATAATTAAATCATTCATATCTCCAGGGAAGGACTACGCCTAGCGTAATATTGCCAACTTTTTTTAGCCTGTATATTGTATAATAATGGCTCAAAGGCAATATGAGAGATCTGAAAACGTATATTCACAATGCCATATTCTCGAAATGATAAAATCAGTGTGGATCCAGTATCAAAAATTGATAAAGCCTTACTCAGGAGTAGCTCATTTTATCGAAATCAATCATGACTTTCTCAAAGGGATTAGGATAGCTGGAAATATGATTTTTTAGTTCGTTCATTGAGATCTAAATGAGTTATTATTTTACATGGATACCATCATGTGAGGTCCTTATTGGTTACTATGCTGTGGAAATTGCCTTGTATAGAGTTATGTTCAAAATTTGTTTGAGAAAACCTGACTTCCAGCAGCTACTAGAAACATTTTTATTACAACTTTTGGCACTATTTGTTCTAAATATGTCCGAGATATTACCACATTTTATATGGGTAACATCCTTTATTTCACAATTAGATTGATAAACCACATAAAGATCTACATATACCATTGTCATTAGATAAAACTAACAGAGAAAAGTTTATTGATCTGGAAGTAATCGATGTAGATTACAATTCAACTTCAAACAGGAGTCGATCAAGTGAAAATTTCAACCAATTTCTTTTAACCTAAAGCGAATTACTATACAAAATATTGCATCAAATAAATATTCACAATTTGTCCTCCCATTCATAGGGCGAATATCACGTGAGCCTTGGCGGCGAAAAGGGCCTGTGCAGAGGTGGGGGGTTACTCGTAGGACTTGGAGGGGCGATCCTGACGATGCCCCCGTGGCCTACTGAGATGTTGGTGTGTGGGGAGACCAAACGGTTCGCAGAGGATACCTGTAACAAAAAATATCCGTGGAATAGACTAGTGAAATGGTGTAAAGTAGGTTGACTGCCATTTCAACGCAACGCTATCATCAGTTGATAAAGGATTATGTTCTTAGCTAGTTATCAACCAGTTGACTTTTTCCTCTGCCCTACCGACAGTACCGACCATGTGACTATGACTAGCCTAGCCACTCTTCAACCAGCCAGCAGTCAAATCCTGTGCTTCGTAGTGGATCATACGGTCAGACACCGATACAGGTATATCTTATCTGTGTTTGTTGTGTTCAAAATATTTGTCTATAATTGTAAATTCGAAGGGCAAATGTATTACAACCCCAAACCCCCAATTTTTAGCTCCTACAAAAAAATTCTGAAAATGGCCAGCGTTTTCGTCCCTCACATAGTAGTGACCTTGTGTGAAAATGGCAGTAAAATCCGACACGTAGTTTCCAAGTTTCAGCGGTGCCAAGCATACGGAACAAACAGGCAGATGTACCGATAGACGGTCAGACCGACGGAAATTAGTGACATGGTTTTTCGTGACGTATAGGTAATGTAACATCTAAAAACATATCTTATTTTTTGAATTCCTCGCGCGAATTGGCGTGGGAAGTGAAAATGAATCAACAAAATGGACACACCTTAGAATGGAACATGTTCAGCTAGAAAGGAGAATTAACAAATAGATTCACTCTATACTCACTTCTTCTCACGCCTTCGGAACTGTACTGCAATTTCATCTATACACAGTGGCATAAAAACGTAGGTTACGTCAGAACCATTAATACATTAATTGCGCTTTCCATGAAAAAAAAAATGTCCTCAGATTGTAGCAGTGAGCGTGTCCGTACACGGCAGCGTTACTTTTTTGTAGCTCTGGTGTAAAACTGTCTGTCGTCAATGCTTGATATCTGATTATGCTGTTGATATGTACTTATATGTTATACTATAATACATAATCGTCAATGTGAGATTCGAATCACTAGCAGCAGATACCGTACATACAGTTTTTTCCAATTCCTTACAGGCTAGCTTCAGGTGGTATCTCCAAGTTCTAAAATGGGATCATAACTAACCTGAATCCTAAGAGGCGCAGTCATATGATGGCTGATCCTCAAAGGCAGCGGAGTTTCTATCTTCGTCCCTCCGTCCATCCTGAGTCCATCAGCTATCCTGAGGTTCATGGGCGGAGGAGGCGGGGGGCTGTCCACGCGAACAGGACTGCCCTTTTCGGTGCTGGAGTCCACGTCTATAGGGCTGTCCGAGGTCAGCCGTAGGTTGATCGCCGAAGGGGATTCGCTATCTTTTGACGTTGGACTCTGGAATGAAAAATTGATGTCAAGTCGATTGGCTTAGTATTTTCCACGCAGGGATTTGGATCAAAAATTTATCTACACTAAGCTTTAATATGAAACCGGAAACTAAAAAAGCAATATACGTGAAAGTTCCTGCCAAGAACTAAACCTTACGGGACAACATAAAAATAAACTGTTTTGTTGGTTTCAATCCTCATTTTGCAAATAGAACTCAATGATCATCAGTAAAATGTCTTGACTAAGCACTGCAAGAAATTATAGCTTCTTTAGAACGATTTCTTTTGATGATGAAAAAAGACATAGGTACCCATAATAAAGTTATTATGTTATGCTTCAAGCCATGAGGGTCATCTTCTGTATCTTTATCACCAGCAGATGATTATGTCCTTTCAAAAAAGGTGCAAATCTATCTTCGTGGTTAGTCAAATTTAAACCTCAAGATAGAACAGTGCTCGACCAATAATGGCATGCTCCTTTACCAAGGTATGTAAGGTTAGAAAGGAGTAACAGTTATGAAGACCTAGGTGCTAAATTTGATGTTGATGTTCACTTTCAATGATCACTTGAAAAACATTACATCGTCTGCCTCCCGAATGCTAGGGTACTTTGTTAGAAAATGGACAGGTTTCTAGAATCTTGAAACAATCAAGCTTCTATATCTAACATACGTGAGAGGCAAGCTTATCTTGGACACCTATTTATCCATACTTTTTTGACAGATTGGATCTATCCAACAGAGATCAGTGACATTTATTTTTCTCAAATGCAATGGTCTCTATCCACACATAGGCTTCGACCATAATATATTGCTCAGAACTTTTGATATCAAACCGCTGGGAGTAACCCGAAATATTTCCCCTCTGTCTTTTTTGTTCAGTTTTCACGTCATCGAGCTTTTTCTTGATGAAGTTGTAAGGTAGTATATTATTATTGATTATTATTTACTTATATATTGTTATTATCATCTATGTATTTGTTTACTGTGTTTTATTGATAATTTTTGATACTTCCTGCAACTGGATAAATTTGCCTGTTGGAAATAAACTTATTATTATTACTACTACCACCGCCGGTCTATCTACACGAGTCAATATTTTGCAATACTTGCCAATTCCACCAAACTGTTTATCGAAGTTTTAAGATAAAAGGAATCCACTGTTAGTGACATGTTATTTGGTAAGATTTTTCAAATACGTACCGAATGCCTGAACCCAGGAGGCGACACCAACTGCCCGCCAGAGCCCACAGTGCCCCCTCCCGCGGCGAACCTGAACTGGGCGGGCATGGGCCCGGGCGAGTGAGCACCGAACCTGAAGTGGGCAATACTGGGGGGCGGCGAGGGCGGACAGCCAGCGCCACCTGGCGGAGAGTGTGCGCCTAGGGAGATGTCGGAGTCGGAGTCCGACGGAGTGGGACTCAAGCCCGGAGGAGGACGTCCGCTACCACCTCCTCCTCCGTGGTGACCCCCGTGGGACAGCTGGGCGGCCAGTTGTTGCTGCTGCATCCTGAAATAGAAGGAATGATTTTAGAATAATTCGCACTTCTACCTTTCAGAAAAAACACATCAGATATGTATTTACTGATATCAATTGACACAAATAGCTTTTTTCTATAACTACTCGAAAAAGAGATCTTTATATTCATTGTATGATCGACCATGCGAGTCGACATTTTCGAGGAATATAGCAGATTTGTCGTTCTAGGCATGAACATTTACTAGAAGTAGGTATACATATCGGATGGAAGATGATAGCACCGTGAAGTTAGCATGTTAAGAGAAACATTTAACGTATACGAGATAGTGTCACAATTATATGTATAGATATATTTTTTATTGACATTAGTACATAAAGAGTCCATGCAGCCAGTCTCAATATATATAATAAAAATCATAGGAACCATAATAAAGAATAATAAAGTCATATATAATAATAGGGTTAAAATCTTTTTTACCTAATTTGCCTATAAGTAACGAATTTGAAAATACTGGACGATGGGACTAAAACAAATCACGGGGATACTCTTCTTGCCAAGGAAACTATCATGGCACTTTTCATAGACAAACAAAATCGGCCAAGGTAAGGGAGTTTCAACACCAAGGATAAACACGGGGACAGCGGCAGCTAAGTTAAATACGTATATTGGTCTCCTTAACAAAGTTAACAATGGTATGGAATATACTTATAGAGAGAGTTCAAAGAAAGATTGCATACTAAATTGTAGGGGCAGTAGATGCCAATAGTCCACATTCTATGTAAGAATGGCTTACGTTCTTCGTGATATCTTGGGCATTCAAAAAAGAAATATATTGCAATGCAGGTGGCTTACATTCTTCGCAGGTATCAGACTGAATTATTATATTCAGTCTTTCTGACAGTGAAGGGTAACAACCATGTCCAAACCTCAATATACGTGGTGATAAAATTTCTACCAGCGCATAGACTTTTAAATCATGGTTTTGATAGAACTGTTTCTTGAATTCTATAGATAGGGAATATGGGAAAGGCATAATCTAAATTTCGATGTACTTCTTTGCAAAATGCTATCTTTGGTGCTACTGTAATATGCAAATGGCTATTAAAGATTATAGTACTATTAAAAGTTAGCCTGCGACTTCAAAAACATGTAGGTAATTACGCTTATCTAACTGGCTTTCCAACTGTGTGACATGCTGCCGTTAGTAGTGCGTGATCTTCCCAAAAATAATATAAGCAGTTAATCACTGATTAAGTGATTATGTAAATGTGAGCAGCTGAAGAACTACGATACACATCTTACGATATTATTAACAGATTATTCTACGATTTCTTCCTTATTTACATGTATAAAGAAAGTATTCCTTAACTAGGCATGATTTACAAGCTGGCGCCTACGCTGACCAACATGTCATTCACAGTGATATGAGATTAATAATCGTACGATAAACAGTCATCAGTGTTGATTGGACATTTCATTTGCGACTCCTTAATGTATTCGTTTAATATTCAAATCCGTAATAACACGATACTTCCAGACGACCACCGTCTGATTTATTTTCTTATGCTGGCGCTAGTAGATATTTACTTATCCGTATGCTTTGTTGGAGTGTGCACAGTCAGGATAGGCGAAGAAGTTTGGTACATGGTGGACTACTGATACATATAGACAAGGCAAACTGATTCGTTTCGGCGATTTTTTCCTTCTGCTCTTTAGGACCAGGATTAAATGATGCTTAATTTTGAGTTATAATTAATTTTATATCGTTTCGAAAATCTCTTCTAGCATTGTATTTTAGATCTAAGCTTTTAACTCAAACGTGTGTTAGCCGGTATAAGGCTATTTTCATTTCAAGAACGATCCTTGAAGATGCTTCAGTATTTTACTCGGCAATCAGCAAGAAAGTATGGTAATCGCAAAAAAACGAGACATTGCTTTTTTAAAAAAAAATGTGCACTTGTACTTTTCGTCCTGGAAGCGAAGGATTGACTCATTGATACAGATATGTTGTTAAAACCCTTATATCAACACTGCACATTATTCTTATTTCTTTGCACGTAGAAGTTCAACTATTTTCAACAAAACTAGCTTAAGAATTCTGGAGTTTTTTTACAACAAATCAATATTCGAAAAAAATGATTCTTTGTACAAACATCACCTATCACTACATATTTTTCGTTTTTAGAAATTGTTCAATAAAGGTTCGTTGCATATTAGTTCTAAATGATTTATAAAGGATCATAGTCTGCTAGAAACCGATTTCTCTATTATAGTCAATTATTTTCATCTCATTGAAATAAAAAAACGGTTGGTATATGACATTATTGTAACGAAAGCATTAAACTGAAAAAGTGAACGAGTAGTACGTAAAAAAGATTAAGTGTCCTGAAAACTACAACTTGTGTTAATCAAATGAATGATGCATTTAAAAATATGATCCGTTTATTCGGAAAGGAATATATCGATATAGGCTTATTCTCTTCATTCATTGCCTCGTTCTCAAAAGTAGTTCGGTTAACAACCCGGGTGTGACGAAATCAATGTTAATACGGCTTGAATGATGATAATTGATGTCCCCATGAACTGTCTTGATACTAATGACGAAAAGTAGTACCAAATATTGAATTTATTCATCAAATTTGTGATCCTTGCATACTATCAACATCTAAAACCATTTTTTTAATACCAACGCTAGTATTGATTGCACTTACGTAACGTATTGATTGTTTGTTTCTATGTCAGTATAAACAAAAGGGAAAAGCAAATTAGAATGTAAACAGTTTTGTTTGATTTTCGAGAAAACTATTATCCTTAAATAGAGATCGACCGAGATAGGATTATCGAAGAAACCGATAATCGGCCGATACTGATATATGTGAGAGGTCGATATATCAGCCTACTGGCCGCACACAGTCGGGTGTATTTCGGTTGGATAAGGTCCCATGGGCCAGAAACGAGTCTCTGAATCTCATAACATTTGCTTACTCCACAAAAATGTCAAAAATAAGAAAAACTATCGCTGATCAAAAGATTGGCGAATTTGATACTGCAATGTTTGTCCTATACAAAAAATATATCCCTTGGGGCATAACCTGCTCGGCAAGATGACAGCAGCGGACAGGCAACAATTTGCCTTCACTTGGTATTGATTTCACTCGTTCATTGAAGAAAGCATGTCCTTCTTATGACTTACCGCCAGATAAATATTTCCATAAAACTGCCATCCCCGATATATTTCAAAAATGCCAAACATGTGTGCAAGAAAAAATAGATCAAATGGTTGCAAAAATGTCACTAACATCAGATATATGGACCTAGCGAGCAAATTTTTTGTAATATTTTCCATAGTTTTCTTGTCTTTTATTTAATAATAAACATACGACGGAAATAGTAATCAATATTTAACAAAAATATGTTACTTCAGCACAATTAAGGAACATAATTGTATACTAAGTGACATATAAATCCGAACACCCAGTTTAAATGGTTTTATTTTAATAAAATTTTGTATAAGTACTTAATGAAGCATAATAAGTTTTTTGACCTTTAATAATGTGTGGATGCACCCTGATGTGCTACGCATTCTCCAACGCGCCTAGGCATGCTTCTGATCAGGTGGTCAATCTCCTCCTGTGGCATCTCATTCCAGGCAACCACCAACTCCTCTCGAAGTGCTTCTAGAGTCTGAGGAGGACGTTGCAAATTGAGCAATCTCCTACCCATCATATCCCACACGTGCTCAATTGGGGATAAGTCGGGAGATCTTGGTGGCCATGGTAACAATGTGACATCATTATGTTGAAAGAAATCTATTGTGACTCTTGCAACATGTGGTCGGGCATTATCTTGTTGGAAAGTTGGATCTGCCAGGGTGTCAAGATAGGGTAAAAGATGGGGTTCTAGAACTTCGTGGATATAACGCTGCGCGTTCATGTTACCTCTGATGAAGATTAAAGGTGACCTGGAACCATAAGCTATAGCACCCCAAACCATATCTCCAACAGTGTGATGAACATGTCTTTCAACAAAAAACTGTGGATTCCTCCTTTCACCACGTCGCCTTCTAACCCTGGCACGACCATCGTGCATGCCTAAACAAAATCGAGACTCGTCACTAAAGACAATACTGTTCCATTCCTGATCCCAGAGTGACCGTTGTCTGCACCACTCAAGGACGTCGGTGTTCTCAAGTTAAAGGAAGGACCCAGTGTGGCCGGTATGAAAACAAGCCAAAACTTCTCATTCGTCGGTAAACACTTCGCATGCCAATAGATCTACCGTGTTCTGCAAACCATTCATTTGCAATAGACCTGGTAGTGGAGAAACGGTCCCTTAAGGCCAATAATCTTAGGCGGCGATCTTCACGGTCTGTTGTTCTATGGCGGCGTCCAGTGCTCCTTGCACTTTGCGTACGGCCTTCTCGAAGCCATGCCTGACAACACCTAACCACAGTGTCTACACTTCTTTGCACTCTAACTGCAATTGCCCGAAAAGAAAGTCCAGCGTCCCACTATACGGCCCCTATCAAACTCACTAAGTTGACGAAATCGTACAGGTCTCCGTACTCTAGGCATCGTAACCGATCGTAAAGGATGTCAAGAACCAAAATCCGCCAACGTTGATTCTTTACTGCGGCTGAAATATTCATTTTTAGAGCGTTAGTGAATTAAAAAAAAGCAGTATAAAAACTGGAATGTCCAACTGATAAGGCTGAAAATTTGTTCACTTGTTATTTACAGTAAGATAAATACATTCACCAACTTTTATTAAAATAAAACCATTTAAACTGGGTGTTCGGATTTATATGTCACTTAGTATATTTCTACGAGTATGTGTTGTATTGTTTAATTCAATAATCTTAAACGATATTCAACTTAATTTATATCTGCCGGCCCATATTGACAAATTAGGCTGATATACCGATATACACATACATATCGGTATCGGTATGCTACTTAAGATCAAATAAATGGTGGAGTTTAAAAATAAATTCGGAAAGATTATATTGAAAACATTGGATCACAGAGTACGATTCTAAAGATTAAATTATCACAAAAAACGATTAGAATTCAACCTAATTAACCAATAACAAAATACCAATCTTTATTTTAATTTCATATATGCATTTAAAGCT